TGATATTTGATTCTAATGTAACGTTAGGTTCTGTTGTCATTGGATGTATTCTGATGTTTTATGCGTGCAACAAATTACATCGTGATGAAGTTTTTTTTTCCTTTGGTTTTGTTTTTTCCGTCGATCTTGTTTTCCGTGCTGAGCACCAATGCTACCGACGTGCCAGGAAGGCAGCTCCCACACCTGGACCCTACCTATCGACCCATCAACTCATGAACCGGGGACCAACGGCTTTACTTCCCATCCGAAGGAAGGCGTGATCAGAGATGTTATGCCTCAGAACATCCCGGCGGCGCCGACTGGGATTGAACCCAGGCCTGCTGGGGTGAGAGGTAATCACGCTTACCACTACACCACCGGCGCCGTTCAACGTGATGAAGTTTGATTCTAATGTAACGTTAGGTTCTGTTGTCATTGGATGTATTCTGATGTTTTATGCGTGCAACAAATTACATCGTGATGATGTTTGATTCTAATGTAACGTTAGGTTCTGTTGTCATTGGATGTATTCTGATGTTTTATGCGTGCAACAAATTACATCGTGATGAAGTTTGATTCTAATGTAACGTTAGGTTCTGTTGTAATTGGATGTATTCTGATGTTTTATGCGTGCAACAAATTACATCGTGATGATGTTTGATTCTAATGTAACGTTAGGTTCTGTTGTCATTGGATGTATTCTGATGTCAAATTTTACATCGTCAAGACGTTTGATTCTGATGTAACGTTTGAGGCTAATGTTTTTTTATGTACTTGGACGTCACACTGAAGTCTGAATACATTAAGGTTACACCAATACACGTTAAAATTTAATGTATTAAAGATGTCTGCTGATGTTTCCTACATTACAATTTCTATTCGGGAGTCCTCCTATCCGATAAAATTAGTGGCTTACATGGATTGACTTTGACCTACGAGACATTTACGAAAGAAGCCATAATTTATGTTTTCGACATTGGTCCTTATGAACGCTCAGTGTCGATATCACGAAAATTTTATTTTGACAGATCGATATCCAACTATGCCAGTTATACACAGCATACACACTGAGGCAAAAGGGGAAAAAGGGGTCAGATTTGAGTCAGCTTTTTGCATGAAGTTCCACATATGTTATGTGTCTACGGTCTGCGGTCGTTGGAGAATTCGACAGTGAGCATGCATAAGGGCGAATACGCGATGATCGATTCTCTTCATCGATTTTCTCTTTGCATTGCTACAGCTGAGCGAAACAATTTTCTAGAATTTGTTCAATGCAGAGTAGTAACAGGTTGTATTGGCTATCAAAAGCAACAGCAAACGCACCGAGAAACGTTAAATCTAGCGAGTTATTAACAAAAGAGAAAATCGACGAAGAGAATCGATCATCGCGTATAGGCCCTTATGCATGCTTTCTGTCGAATTACACCTTATTGGATTAAAACGGCAAAAACCAAGGAATCACCAGAGTGGCACAAGATTCGTTAGCTGATCGATAAAGCGAAGAAGACCTGGCGGAAAGGACAAGTTGGATGTGATAGGTGGAATGCAGCGAGGAATGCAGTATGGTGGCGGTGAAACCGGTTCCAGTAAGTACGGTGGCTATCAGGATAGCAAATCAGCCAATCTGGGCATCAACTTGTCGGCCCACTGCAACACCGACCCCGAAGAGATCATCAGCACGTTCAGCGGTAAACAGCAGTCAAGCAATGAAATTCTGAAACACCTGTTCAGAACCTGTCCGCCAACACTTCCGCCAAAGACGATTTCGACGACTTTAATTCATGGGCACGCCAAATCTACGATTCCGACGCTTACGGTTGCATCATGGGCGGTCAAGAGTTTGGAGATTTCGAATCTAATTTAAGAAATCCGACAACGAATCCCGCCAATTTTGTGGCGTTCAGTTTGGCTGCCGCTACTCCAGTTGGAATAAATCATTGTGTTACATCAGCAAGCCTGCCTCCTTGGTGTGTGGATTGTGCCTTTTACCTTTGATTTAGTATTTGTTTTGCATTAAAAGTACATCGTTTATGTATGTTTTGTACTCTTTCGAAACGATTGTACGGCTTTTCCCCGAATTCTGTTTCCTCGAATAGAACGTCTCTTCGAAATCTGTTTTCCCAAATGACTACTTGGCCGGACCGGGAGGCAAACTCGGATTTACAGGTTTCCAAAAGGTATGAAAGGTATAGTTTGCTTGAACTGTAGAAGAACTCTTCAGAAGGTTAATCATGATCAATTTATGCCAGCCAAATGCCAGCTTGATTACAAACCTATCGGTTTACAAGCGCTTGTTTTTTTATGTGTGCGAAAGGATAGAGGGATCCTGGCTTTCGGAGATGAACTAGCCCATGGCTAAAAATCTCCTAAACAAAGTTAAAAAAAACTATCCCGGTTTAACTTGTAATTTAAATCTAAATTATAAAAACACCCACACTCAGAGTGACACAGTAACAAAACCATAGTGGAAAAATTATGCATTTGTACTTGTCCCATTTCAGTATACTACCATGGCAAAAAATCGAAGCACGCTGTTGAAGCGACAATCAATACGAAACTAACGTTTTTAAATTGGTTCACTACTTGATTAGCCTATTGGTCCCAAGCAAACGACTAATGTACCCCATTCTAGTCGAAATTCTAGTACTACACAATGTTTGTTTTGATTAGCTATGAAAGTTTGACAGATAAAATGAGGGGTTATTGCTTTTTCCTATGTTTCGAGGGGTGAATCGATTAGCTTGGGACCGAAGAGAGTACCAGAGCTGAGCCAAAAAGTTGAGCACGTTATTTCGGGACCTTTTAGTCTTAGAGTTACCTCTATGGTTGAAGTGCACTTGAGATATGTTGGAACTGCTGCAGAGTGTTCCGAAGAGCAGCTAGATTCGATTTGAAGCAAGTTGGATGTGCTGCTGGAATGCCTACCGGGTCCGAGGACTCCAGAGCAGCTGCACTCGATAGGTTGAACAAAGTATGCTGGACTAGATGCAGGACTTGCTGGAATAGTTGATCGAATGCCGGCAGTGAATGACAGTTTTTTGTCGCATTTTCGAACTTGATTCCAATCACATTTTCATCACGGATACTGACCCGGACATGCTCGGTCAGAATAGAGAATCTATCCCAAACGAACACCAGTCGCAATCAGCCCCAGATAACCTAGTCGAGGAAAGCGCGCCCCTTTCGAAGTTATCTCTGGATCTAAATATCGAAAATAAAACGAACTCCTTTGCTGAGCGGATCGTCTGCGAACGCACAACTGGCAAAACCCGTCGATTTAGCTCGCCCCGTCCACAATCACCAAACCACGAACGTCGGTCGGATCTATAATAAACTACAAACGAATGTAAATATCAGAGGTAAACAATCCTAGCAGGGGTGCCAAAAATAATAGAAAATTTATCTTTTCATGTGGCAGAAGAGTGTTTGAGTGTGTCAATGTGTGTTTTTGCTGTGTTGACACAAAGTGGCAGAGTGACTTACCCCCTGCTTAGGCGTGATCAGAGATGTTATGCCTCAAAACATCCCGTCGGCACCGGCTGGGATTGAACCCAGGCCTGCTGGGGTGAGAGGTAATCACGCTTACCACTACACCACCGGCGCCGTCACTCAAATACGAGTGTTGTTTACTCATATTTGAGTAAAAATTGTTGTTTTTATGTGTTCCACACATGAATTTTCGCAACGTGATCAATAAATGATATCTATGTGTCGGACACATACTGAATATGTGTACACATAAAAACCATCTGTAACCACACATAGTATTGACTCATAACCCGCATAAACGCGAACCATAAATTGACCTTACCTAAAATGGTTAAAAATTGTTTATAATCCCTGCTAAACTTTAACTGAAATGGTTATGGAACTTTACATGAACGTTTAATGATAAAGTTTCAACCTTATGTATTATGGTTTTTTGGAACTGGACCTTACAAATAATGGGTTGTTAAGAACCATTACCGTTCCAAATTCTTGTTTTCTCCATACATTTTCGGAAAGAGAACTATATTAGAACCTTTTAACTTATGGTTTGAGAACTTTAATGGTAATGGTTATGGTAGTCAGTAAGGTCCACGAATGGTTTTGTAACATCGATCAACTTTATGTGGAATATATCGCGAATTGGTTGTCTGTAATTTACTGATTACCAATTCACGATATATTCCACGTAAAGTTGAGCGATAATACAAAACCATTAATGGACCTTACTGACTACCATAACCATTACCATTAATGTTCTCAAATCATAAGTAAAAACGTTCTTATATAGTTCTCTTTCTGAAAATGTATGGAGAAAACAAGAATTTGGAATGGTAATGGTTCTTAACAACCCATTATTTGTAAGGTCCAGTTCCAAAAAACCATAATACATAAGGTTGAAACTTTATCATTAAACGTTCATGTAAAGTTCCATAACCATTTCAGTTAAAGTTTAGCAGGGATTATAAACAATTTTTAACCATTTTAGGTAAGGTCAATTTATGGTTCACGTTTATGCGGGAAATTTCATGTGTGATTCTGGGTGGATTCTGTTTATGTGTGGTCACATGAAAACTATGTGGAATTTCACATGGAAATTCGTAAATAAAAATGTGTGGAATTTTATTAGTGTATGCTTTTGCGAATTTGAGTGAATGGGACGCAAATATGAGTTAGGTTCATTTGCCGTGTTGAGTAAATTCACTTTTGACGAAATTGAGTTGGTCTGATCGTCCGTGCACTGAGTTCAAGCAAGATGCTAAAAGCTCTGTGTGCGTGAAACGAAAGTTTCGCATTGCGAAATGTTTCATTCTTCTTTGAAATATTTCCAGTTCAAAATTCAAAACCCGCAATGAAGTGTGCGTACATATATTGGCCACCTGTTTCCTTTATGATAAGACTCAAGATGTATACCATCATCGGAGGGGTATCAAAGCTGTTAAGTGCTTCACCTTTCTAGACTCTATACGGAGGAAGGAAGGTGGTACATACCTATCTATCGATGGCGAATAGATAAGATAAGCGACAATTTATTGAAATCTGTTGTGGCTTCGACTGTCGGAACTGTCTTCCCATTTGATTAGTCGTTCGCAGTCCATTTTCTTTGTCATAAATGACACCGCGGAGGTGATTTATGGGCCTATTGGGAACCGTTCGCCGCAATAAGAAAGTTGAATTCCGAACAAGATAAGCACCGAAATATGAAATCGAATTATTACTTGCTGCTGGCGGTGTTTTATTGGTGCTGTGTGATTGGCGGGGATGGGGGTAATTCAATCGTGTTGGACGGAAGTTTGATTTTGGTTTTGATTTGGTTTTCCTGTTGTGATGTTTAGCGAACAACGAGGAGGAAGATGATCCCCTGGTGACGACCCTTTCGCCGGCTGAGGAGTACAAAAACTATCCGTACTGCTTCCGGTTTACGTGGCTCGGTCCCAAGTACAACAAGGACAGTCAATACAAGAACATAACCTGCGATAGTTTGCTGAAGAAGGCCACTGGGATTCCGTGCTTCCATCCGTTGGTGGTCACGAGTGAGTTTACAGGACAGCTGGCATCATAATTGTGGTGGACGACGATGGATACATGTTTGCTTTTGTACTTCCTTGCAGATAATAGCAACGTGCCCGATACCGAGTATATGTGGAACGAGTACAAGGACAAACCGGCGCAAATTGCGTGTCGGCTGGTTCGTGGAGAGGTTTGCGCTAGGTTTACCTATCGGTACAACGGTGCAAGTAAGTAAAGGCATTTTGGATGACAACAAAAAATCTATACGGGGGCCGTCGGTTCCATTGGGGTGCGTGTTTTGCGTGACGGTTCGCGGTTGTGAGTGTGCCGGTCCGGGCGTGATCAGTTGGTGAAAATATTTACTCACCAATAGATACGTATAATTTCGTCGTGAAATTACGCTACGAAATGATTCAGCTGATATGAACTGGAATCAACGTTTTCTTCTGGATTGGTTTGACACTAATGGTACCAGTGAAGGCAAGTTGTTTAATCGCATGATCCGTCATCAATGTATTACAGCAAATCCATTAAAACAGGATACGATAATCTAAGCTGAAGCATGTTAGATTGGATGGTGACTGTTAGCAAACAATCGATTATACAGTAATCCCCCTATTAGTGCATCTTAATGCATGCAAACTGATGTAGAATTTAAGCTGATGCATTTGAATCATGTTTTATAACATGCTACAAATATTCTATGACGGTGAAGTTTGATGGAGGATGCCAGGACAATTTCTAGATTTTGGGCAAGCGCTAAGTCCTCGGACCCATTTCGTTTACTCAGCATTTAATCCAGGCGATTAAGTAGATGCAGAACAATAAGAATTTTTATATTCGAACTAGCAGGTCGTGCAACTTACCTTAAATTCATCTCGATTCATTTACAAACGAAGCATTTCCGCCACTTGCTGTCTTCAGCAAAGTTTCTCACAAAAATTAGGGCCATTAAGAGATCTAACTGTTTACTCTGACATTATGGACAGAGTCGATGTTATAGTAAGAGTTCCGCCAAGAGAAAATGTTGCGAACAAGCAGCACTTTTTGTGATTTATTTTTCGTCAGAGTAAACGGCAACCAGATTTTTGGGCGTTAGCATCGGATGACTTTCATTCAGAAGTGAAAAATTTCATGTCGATAACGGAGCAGCTGAAAAATGTTCAAACAACCCAAGTAACTAACAAGCCCGCTTTTTGCAATATAAGACTAATATGTGACTAATATAAAGCTTAGCATGCCCTATGTTAGCCGTGTATCAGCCTTAGATTGCAAAAAGGCTAATTAGCGGGCTTGTTGGTTACATGGGAAGTCCTTGGTATAACTTATAAATACCACAATGCACTAAATAAAGCAAAGAAATATTTTTCATCTAAAATTACTAAGAATATTGTCAGTAATGAATGCAATACTTGTAGTTCACTGGCTGTGGGAACAATAATGTTTATTTACTTTGCTTGTTTGGTACCCCGCTTGACAGTTCGATTGGTACTTCTGGCTTCACTCTTGGCGGGACTCTTATTATAACATTGACTCTGATTCTGGAGACTTGAAGTCCTTACTCTATTTCTGAAAGCCTCCTAAATAAAGATAAATCAATCAATCAATCTATTTCAGAACTACACACTTAGAAAAATTAATGTATATTTAGGTGCTCTGAGACATATACGAGCGTCAGTTTTGACATAAAATTAAGTCATAATAGACGCGAAATTCAGCTCAATCAAACGTAATTTCGAACTTTGACTATATGTTTTTAGTATTACTTCTACGTGAAGTCAACGATTTACATAGTTGAAGATGCTAATTTCAAATAACAGACTGTAGTGGTAATTTTTATACGATAGATGGAGTAGATGAAAGCATAGAGTTGATAGTTCCGTTAGAGTACGGCAGTGTGAAGATTGTATATAGATATTAGACAAGCGAGCTAGGACAACTTTTAAGGAAGGTACAAATCGGTTTTTTCATCTCTCTTTACCAAACTCCCCCTTTGGAGAGGGATGGTGAGGGGTGTCCCCCCCCGCCACCACTGGCAAAAAGAGATGAAAACCTGACCCGCTCATGTACCAACTGTGTGTTTGAAACAGTTCTACCGATTTTTTACCGCACTTCAGTTGTTATTTGAAGGAAGGCATCCAGTCGTAGGTTTGGAAATTGCAACTATTGTTGCACTGATCGTAGTATGGAGGATGACGTTGATGATATTGAGAACATACATCCAAGCCCACAAACCTCGACAGTATCAAGTATGCAGTATCAAGATATTGAATATTTCGACGAAATTATCCTACACCCGGATGAACATGACGGCGAAAATAGTGCCGATTTTGTTTATTATTCTCAATCCGTTAATGATACAAGTATGCAATCAAATCTTCCGGCGAATCTTGAATGTAACCAATTTGTCTGGAACAAAACCCAGAGTCAACAGTGTCAAAAATAGTGATTATTTAGTGTGTTAGACCAATGTGAATCTATTGCGTACTTCACGTCCCCACAAACATTGAATGTTGAATAACAGCTTATTCAGGCAAACACAAGCTACTTCAGCTAAAAAACAGCTTATTCAGCTGTTGATCAACTCAAATTGTTTGTTGGGGTCTAACTGGACAAATGATCGCATTTTAACTTATTAAAAAGTGTGATAAAAGTGCTCGTTTACGTCTCATGTTGGTGTCTTCAGTGCGCTTATTTCTTGCATTATAAAGAATTGTTCGGATCGAATAAACAAACCGTTCTTGAATCAACCTTTTCTTGCAGGTAGATCAAACTGCAATTTTATGAGAAATTCATTCGAGTTAGTACAGTATTTTCATGAGTTTTAGTGTTAGTATTACTCACTATTTTAGTTTGTTTTCCTCCTCTAAACTTTCCTTGTCTTTCCAACCTCGCTTCCGATACTATGCCTGACACAATTAAGCGCATTAATATTATTTATTTCCAACGTTTTCTGCATGTTTTACCTGTCTGCCAATCTATCTTGTCGATTCGTCTATCATCGACTAACCTCCTCTTTGTGTCGAAAAAAACTGTAATTTAATTCTTTGTTCTAAATGTATTTCAATTTTTGTATGTTGAACTAACCTGGTGTATTAAACTGCGGTCGTTTAATTATTTTACCTTCTCAAAAAAAACGCACCGAAATTTCACTCCTTTTCTAGCAAACACGCTCTAAATCTCAATCTACTTTTCAACTAAACTTCAACCTTTCTTTTCTATTTGTTTACTTCTCCCTGCACGACTTCTGTCCGATCAACTTCTAACTATTTTTTCTATCTCTTTCTCACCTGTCACTTCTACTTCACCTGTCACCTTGTCACGCCTCATCGGCCAAACCGCTTCTCGCCTCATCGGCCGATCGCGAGGCGGAACGGTCCGTGTTGCCAGAACATGCACCCAAGACACCAAGAAGATTAAACGTTTTTTTTTATCATTAAAAACATAATAACGGAAAATCAAGTTCGGGATTACAATACTCTCCTAACATTATTCGTTTGTCCGTTTGGCTCAACACACTCAAAAAATTTCACACGCCATCATCATGTGTCTCACACTTAATTTTGCGCTTATTGTGAAACACATCGATTTCATGTGTGAATCTTACACTCAAAAAATTCCACACGCCATTTCATGTGTGAATCTTATGCTATGATCCATGCCTGAATACTATGGATTTGAATTGTGACACACTTGGATTCTATGTGTTTCATATGGTGATATCAATAGCTTTGCACACCATAGTTCAATATTTTACAATATTCTACTTTACCGACTTCTACTTTACTGACTCTAAAAATTGAAACGACAAATATATAATCAAAACTGCCAGAGGCCAGAGCTTTCACATATCTTTTTAATGGGTCTGATTTGGGATTCAATCATGGACTGTTGGGGTGTGCTGCTGCCGGAGTCTTCGTTCTATCTCACTGTGCCAGGGTTGTTCTCATATATGAGGCGGGTTAATAGGATAAAGTCACAACTCTTGTTTTCGATGTTTACCTTTCTGAGCAAGCAATTCACATTGTATTGAAATGCAAAACACTTTAAATCCATCTGTTTTGAACAGTAGCGTGATTCAATGTGCAATACACTTGAATAGAAAGTGAAAAATTTTCAACATTTCAAAGTTTGAAACACTCTAAATTAACGTGTATAACACATCGAACCAAGGTGAAATACACTTAAAGTAAATGTGATTCTGCATTTAAAAAATCAAGTGTTTAAACACTTCGATCAAACGTGTGAAATTTTTTGAGTGCATTTTGACAGTTCGTTTGGCTCCGCTAGATTCGTATCCGCCGGTCTGTGTTTACTATACCGTCTGTATGATAAGTCTGTGACAGCCCTTGAAAATTTCATTGATTGTTTGCAAAATTATTTAATTTCATGAAAATTTCTTGTCAGCATGGATGAATCTTGTACAAAATGCATAAAACTATTTTGTAATGCATTGTTCTTAAATAAAAAGCTACTTCAAGACTTATAAATTACTGTTTGAAATCATCTGCCGATTAAACAACAGACAAAGTTGGCCGACTAAATCAATCGACGAAAAACTATTAAATAGGCCGATTGCTCGGTGTAGCACCAGACGAAAAACGATTTAATCTGCTGATTAATACACCGACTGAAATTAATTTTTAAGTGACAATAGATTTAGTCAGTGGACGATTCTGGTGATTTGGATGATGTTTGTTTATTTGGAAGATATTTTCGAAACAAAACACGATAAAATTCAGCATTATATACCATTATTACGAGTACTACTTTTTTGTTCGGATCATGTTTTGACTTCCACAGAAACTCGCTAGAATAAATAGAAAATAATAGTTTTTTGGTTGAAATTTCAAAAATGTATTCAGCTTGACACATTATTTCGGACTTATCACCGCTGCGATTGCAGCGTCACGGTGGTCGATTGAAACATGGATTTGTCAATAGGAACGTATAGCCATTGGCTTCTCGACGCAAGTTCTCACTAATTCAATCTAGTTAGTGTAGCCCAGAGGCAATGTTATAATAAGAGTCCCGCCAAGAGTGAAGCCAGAAGTACCAATCGAACTGTCAAGCGGGGTACCAAACAAGCAAAGTGAATAAATATTATTGTTCCCACAGCCTTTGAACTACAAGTATTGCATTCATTACTGACAATATTTTAGTAATTTTAGATGAAAAACATTTCTTCGCTTTATTTAATACATTGTGGTTTTTATAAGTTATACCAAGCACTTGTTTGAACATTTTCCAGGTTATATTATAGTTTTTGTCTCCCAGAAGCTCCGTTATCGACATGAAATTTTTCACTTATGAATGAAAGTCATCCGAGGCTAACGCAAGAAATCTGGTTGCCGTTTACTTCTACGAAAAATGTGCTGCTTGTTCGCAACATTTTCTCTTGGCGGGACTCTTATTAGAACATCGACTCTGGTGTAGCCGTGTAAAATCGGTTTTTTTTTTTTTTTTTTTTATTTTCAACCACGAAATCAGCTGTCAAAGTGTTCGACTTGACAGCGATTTGTATTTTATTTTCAACCAGTACAACGCATGCATTAGTGAAACTGCTCACTAATACTAACGGTGGTAGAGAACTCTATAGCTGATGTCCCTATGTCAAATGTCTTTAATGTGAAGACAACTCGCACTCGCGTGAACCCATAACTAATCACAGGTAGAGTCGGTGTATAATGAGTCACGCCAAGAGTGAAGCCAAGTCTACCTATTGAACTGTCAAACCGGCTACCTATCGTGCAAAGTAAACAAGCATTACGATGCTATGAAAGGTCCATGAAAGGTATTGCAATTAAATATAAAATATAATCGAAGAAATGATCATAAACACATTTGTAATGCGATACGTTTTGTAATGGTCAGTAATAAAGAATTTCTACTATTTTTCGTTAAGATAAATTGACAAAATCACTAATTTAATGATGTACTACAGTCGTTACTTTTTTTCCTCGCTAGAAGTCATTTGAAGTTGATGCAGAAGTCCTCTGTTGCCAAGTGAAAAGAAAGGGAATCTTTCGAAAACCGTGATGCGAGTTCAACTGTTTTTCTCTTGGCGTGACTCATTATACACCGACTCTAATCACAGGCTCACCATTTAGGATTGGGCGATCTTCAGAGAAAGATCGAACTTGACGGATCGATCTTATATTTGACTCTAGAATCGATCCACTGATTGAATCGGTACCAAAAAATCGATCTTTGGTAGATCGATCTTTTTATTTTAATTTTAATACGCTTGTTTCTATTTCTTTCTGTAATCATATTCAATTAAATGTTGTCGTGACGGTTAGGAGCAATGAGCACAGGAGGGAGCTAGCGCAAACCTTCAAATGTTGCTGTATTCGTAAATATCGGAAACGCAAATAGTGATGTCATTGTAGGGAGTGATGCTGATGTTGACATTATGTTAGTTAAATTTACCACGCAGTCTGGGGTGAGAGTAAATCGTTTTTTCGATCTAAATACACTTAAACAATTTAACACCTTTTTTTGAAGACCGAAAAGGTCGAAAGAAGAGATCGATTTTTTCGATTTCCTCGTGGGAAAAGAATCGATCTGAAAAATCGGAAATCAGGATGAAAATATCGATCTTCCAAAGGTCGATCCAAGATCGCCCACACCATTACCAAATGCAACCGATCGGATCGACTGCTTGCCCGACTCTCCAAAAATGTATTAATATTTGCCCCTATTGAAAATTATTGGGAGGGGGCGCCAAAAATGCCATTCTCCCATCTTGGGTAATCTTTTTTGAAATTGTGCCGCAGGTGTGCCGATTGTGCCGGTCACAGAACAAGCTGCGATTGTTTGTAAAATACCCATCCCGGCAACCCGGTATTTCTGACACCTAGAATGTTTTGGTTTGAAATTGCAAGGATAAGTCGGATTGAGGTTGACGCGGGAAGTGGCTGGTGTTGGTGTTTTATGTTCATAGGTTTATCATCATATGAACATAAAACACCAACACCAGCCACTCCTGTGTTTTAGTCTTCTATAATACCCTCAGTCTTAGTCTTCTATAATACCCTCAAAGGCAGACCAGAAACCTAGCCTTTAGTGATGTGAAAAGCATCGGTCTATCAGTGGCCGGAAAGAGTTGGAACCGGTGGGGAGCATTGTTGGAGACTGACTATAGAGGATGATGAATGAACTTCTTTAGTTTGTTTTGTGTGATTTGCAGCATTATTTGAATTAAGCGTACTAATGGGGTCTGATTAACTGCCTCTCTTGAGCCCACTCTAGAACCTACATTTCGTATTTAGATAATGTTTATAAGTGAACTGCTGATCTGAGTTCCTCTGGTATATTAAATTTGAGGATGTTCTTGAATATACAGTCAAACAGCACGTAATGATGTGAACAACTTCAATGACAGTTGTCCAGTAGTGCTCCCATTTTAATTACAACAATACGAGATTGTGCCGAAGGTGTGCCCATGGTATGCCAAAGGTGTGCCTACATTGTCCATACCCCGTCAACTCTTGAGAGCCAGCATTTGAAATCTAAATTCACATCAAATAACAACATTGGGGCATGTTTCGAGTGCTGGACAAAAAGTATCATATGAAAATGTAGACACAGACCAACATATCATCCATAAATTAAATTAAATCAGTAAGAAGGGGCAGATCTCATCCTTAAATATATCGTTATGTTCGAAAGAAAAGTGCAAACCTTCTGCTTGGTACTGCAACTTAGCAACCCGCTCTCAATGCGCTCGCTGGAAATGGATTACACTGTAAAACCACAATTCCTGACACGCACACACACACACATGTCTATATGTAACTAAGCGCTTTGTTTTCAATCTCATTCACAGTCGAAAACATCACGTACATGTGCGCCAAAATGAACGTGGACAACGAATCGTCAACGTCGTCCGCGTGCTACACGGAGGATCGCAGCGGTCGCGAAATTGAGGTTTGTGTGTGTGAATCCGCCGCTGGAAGGACACCCTGCAACCGGAGCAGCACCATCCTGGCTCATCTTGGGCACCCGGCCGTGCTGAGTGCATTGGCCCTGGTTCAACTGTTAGCCCTCCGGACCTTGTTTTACTATCATCAGTGAATAAAGTAATTTTTGATTTTCCTTGGGCAAAAAACGCCGTCCATTAACTATTTAATCAACGATTAGCGTAAAATGAGATGGAAAGTGCTTTTCCTAACTCACCCCTCATCCCTATCGTTTCCACCATGACATACCTGCTCTCATCAGACAGAAAGCTTAATAACGATGTCACTACTATATAGAGATCGCTTTCTTAGCTTGAACAGTAAAATGTCATCGCCGTCTTGCTCGCTGTCGTCGGAGCTTTCGGATTAAATTTACATCCCCCCCAACGCTCGACGCCGTGCCAGGCGTCTTGGCGTCTTCTGTGCACATTGTGTTTGATTAAATTAATTTGCTAAATTTAATTAAATAGATCCCTCGATGTGGCGTCGTCGTCGTCGTTGTCGTCGGTGCAAGATTGCAAACTTTCACGTCTTCCTAATTTCTTGCAAATTATCCGGTTTTCATGTTCACGTCGCGTAGTTGCCCCCCGCTCCCAAGGTCCAATGTATCTACCACCTTTCGCATACGGCTGTTGCTCGTTGGTCCTTTTTAAGTGCGGGTGTGGTAAAGCAAGCGGAAAAAGATGGAGAAGATTTGCGATTGGTGTGTGATTTTCCAAGTGCGAGAAGAGGCGTGCGAAGGGATTGGGTGGTGTTTTGGTTTTTTTTTTCAATAAATTTCAAAATTGTGTGATAGAGGAAATAGATGCAATGTCGACCAAAATGCCCCCAATTTGGGCCATAAATTCAGCAATCGACTAAATTTTCAATAGCGACCAAATATATCCATTAGTACCGTTCCAATGACGCGTTCATCTAGATAAAATTGATAAATAGTAAATTTTTAGCGATGGGCCCAATCTTAGATCCATAGAGCCAACATTAGAGCCATTTCCCCTTGCAAGGATTAGGAAAACTACCTTCATATAAGCAGTTTTTTAAACTTTTTTTCACAGTATAATATTTACTTAAACACATCCTATGACTGACTGGCTGTATAAGCTGCTCTGCAGCAAACATTTATTGTTTAGAGACCCTGTTCGATGTATTATAATACTTTCCTATTATTGCAATTTACGATACTTACTAAATGTATTGCAAACCCACAGATAGTATGTGGTGAACGAATTGAGGTAATCCTATGATAATTTGACCAATTCAATTTAATTATAATTGGGTTAACTGTCACCAATAGAATGTACGGTAATTTAATCATCCTTTCATGGTTAAAGCATAGAGGTAACTCCAAGACTAGTAGGTCCCGAAGAAACGTGCTCAACTTTGTGGCTCAGCTCTGGTACTCTCTTCGGTCCCAAGCTAATCGATGCACCCCTCGAAACATAGGAAAAATCTACGAACCCCTCATTTTATCAGTCAAACTTTCATAGCAAATCAAAACAAACATTGTGTAGTACTAGAATTTTGACTAGAATGGGGTACGTGAATCGATTTGATTGGGACCAATAGCCTAGTCAAGTGGTGAGCCAATTTAAAATCGTTAGTTAAATTGTGGACACTTTTCTTTCAGTGTAGTTTTTGAAATATTTCACGAACCGCTGAAACGTCACTTATATGATAGCTGAAGCTCTTCCCTTTATTTCATTCAGTTTACATTCTTGTTCAGTTTGGTAAAATGGCATCGAATTAAGTAGAAATACACAAACGCATTTTATACGAACGGCAGCAAAATCCAACGTTGTCGGTACGCGATCTCGCCAAAAAGCTAAAATTGCCGAAGAGTACCAGGTGTAGTGTGTGCAAATCGTTTGACCAGCGCTTAGCTATGGATCGGAAGGTAGGAAGCGGAACAAATCGAAAAGTATGCTCTCGACAAATGAACCAGAAGGTGGTAGCCATTATTGAGAAATATCCAAACCTTTCAGTTCGTTGCAAAGTTGGAAAATCAAAATCATATATACAAAAAGTGAAGCAGAGGCATAGGCTGAAGGCATGCAAAGTGAAATCGTAATGATAAGAAAAATTTCAATTTCAAATTTCAGCAAGTCTTGCATCCTAATGGATGATGAAATATATGTGCTCAAAGACTTTCAACAGCTTCCGGGTTTGGATTTTTATACTGTAATGCAAAGGAATGCCGTTGCCGATTGTTTCCGCACAAAGAAGCTTACGAAATTCCCTAATTGGATTTTGCAGGCCATATGTAGTTGCGGTCGGAAATCCAAAAGTTTCATCTCTACCGGCACTATCAACAGTTGCTACCCTTCATCAAAAGCCATGACACTCCGGCTCTGTTTTGGCCTCTTGTCACTACGCAAAATTTGCCCTGGATTGGTATAATGCACAAAACAGCCAATCCTCCAAACTGTCCAGAACTCCACCCAATAGAAAGGTACTGGGCCCCTTTTCTTAGGCTCATTGCAAAATGTCATTAGAATTACTTTTTCTTTCTGAATTTCCCTCAATAATCTTATGATTATGTCCGGTATTTCCTAGAAAATTTCTCCATAAAAATCGAAATGCTATAAACTTTAGGCAGAATATTCTTGAAATTCATATTACGTTTAGAAATTCTAGCGAGATTTTGTTTCAATCTGTTTATTATGTTTTCTACAGTTCGCTTGGAATATTCATGGAAATCTATTGGAATGACATTTTATATTTAAAAAAACTATTATCCTACAATTTTCTTGGATTTAATCACATATTGAAAAAAAAATTCAAATTTTCCTTGAAATGCGCCTCAAAAAGCTCCTAACAGGAATTCTCTTCAAACTCTGCTTAGAATTCCTTTGTAAATTTCATCAGAATCTCCTGGAACACACTACGAACACACACTAATATGTTAAAAATTTCAAACTATCTTCAAACTAGCATAAAATTCTGCTTGGAATGTTTGAGCAATATGAAGAATGAGATTCCATTGTAATTATTATCCTTACTTCCTTGCAACTCTCCTGAAAATGTCTCTGTTATTAGGCTGATGCAAATTTTATATATATATTTTTGATGTGATGTCAGTTTCATTTTATTCAACAAAATCACAAAATATTAAAGGTATAAAAACTTGTATCAGTAGATTACCGCCAATAAAGACTTCCTATTAATAAGGGATAGTTATGCGATTATAGCTGGAATACTAGCTGATCGCGCACGGGCTGGACCCTTTCGACGTTGAACATAAAATAGACGACCGATTATTTGGCCGTCCTGCCATGGCGGAGGCATACGAACCAACAATCAATACGAAACTAACGATTTTAAATTGGCTCACTACTTGACTAGCCTATTGGTCCCAAGCAAACGATTAACGTATCCAATTCTAGTCGAAATTCTAGTACTACGCAATGTTTGTTTTGATTCGCTATGAAAGTTTGACAGATAAAATGAGGGGTTATTGGTTTTTCCTATTATTCGAAGGGTGAATCGATTAGCTTGGGACCGAAGAGAGTACCAGAGCTGAGCCAAAAAGCTGAGCACGTTATTTCGGGACCTTCTACACTGAGCCAATATGACATATTCCTGTTATGTGGAAGTCTAATAAATTTGCGCTATAAGATAATCCAATGAAAATTATATGATTGAAAATGTGTCAGGTAAATTCTATATGAATATCTGATACATTTACAATGCTGATAATTTGGTAACTTTTATATGATCGTCATATGATAAATGAAAATCGGTCAAATTATAATAATTAACTGAAATGGATTTGAAACCCATAAGCATAAGCTTTACTTTTCACCACAACATAATATATGTGTCATAAATCAATCGAAGTAAAGTTTATGTGAAAATCACATGAAATTTACTTCTTCTTTTGACACATATATTTAATCGATTTCTAAAAATAAATCGAAAAATAAACATCACGCAGTGAGGAGCTTTCACAGTTGTGTCTTTTTTTATTGTAGCTGATTTGGGATTCGATCAAGAACTGTTGAAGTGTGATGCTTTCGGTGTTCGCGCTCGATTCCACTGGGACACGGCTGACTTCAAGATTGAGCTCGTTCAATTAGCATGAAGTAAGAACAGCTCTCCCAACATGGAATGTAGTGCAACGTTATGCTCGTTTTGCTAGAGCGAAGAAAAATAGCACTGACAAATTTATGCTCCGTTTCGGTGGTGTCGTGTATTCAAATCTTGCTTAATGCTCCTGTGTGCAATAAAACAACGACTAGATTATATGAGTTCATGGAACTGGTTCATGGAGTTCGAGTACTAGTGCTGAAATCTGAATTAGCCGTGTAGAAGGCTTACAATTAGAATTTTAGCAAAGTAAATATTGCAGTAGAATCATGCCCATTTTTTCAATCTCAATACATTCTTTTCCGGAACCCCTTATCACAGACAAACAGACATAACACATTGAATATTTCTCACTGTAAAACATCGTCGTTAAAACATTACCGCCATCTGTTGAGTACACTGTGGTGGGTAGTACGCTGAACAGATGGCGGTAGTGTGGAAACGTCAAACGCAAGGGAATTGACTATGCGCGCCACAGGTGGCGGTACTACCAACTAAAATACTTTTAAATTGACCGATAAATGCTTGTTCGATGAACATCTTGCGAGTGTTATGTCTGTTTGTCTGTGCCCTTATCTTATGGAACAATGACAAACAAAGATTATTCAATACAGTATCATTTTTGCTAGCAATATTTAGTTCGACAAATCATTTTAATGAGTGAATGATAACATCGTTGAAAATTGTTTCAATAATTCACAAAGAACAATCATGTAAGATGTTTTTTTTATTGGGAGCGATATTCATCCCGGAAAGCCATACCAAAACCTCGGCCAAAACAAATGTTTGCTGTTGGATTTCTTAAAAGGCACATTTATATGACTATTTAATGATTGGGATAGATCTGTTTACAATCTTTAAACCTCAAAAATTAAAGGAAGCTATTTAGCAATTAGATATACATGTTTTCCTATACTGCAAAGTTAAATGACAGTCCAATAGTTTCTACCTCGGTTTCTACATGTCTGTTTGCACGTGACATATCAACAAACGTCAAAAATCGTTAAAAGCAACTCCAATAAAATATACATGATTATCTTATAAGATATATCTTTTAGTGAGC